CTGGCTAGAGGTGTATTGACTTTATTGATCTCTTTGAAGAATCGGCTTTTGATTTTGATTTTTTCTATTGATTTCCTGTTTTCAATTTTATTGATTTATGCTCTAATTCTTACTATTTCTTTTATTCTTCATACTTTGAATTTAATTTGCTCTTCTTTTTCTAGTATACTTTGAATTTAATTTGCTCTTTTTTCTAGTTTCCTAATGTAGAAACTTTAAAATCAATTTAGATCTTTTTTAAAATATGCATTCAATGCTATAAATTTCGCTTTTAGCACTGCTTTCACTACATCCCACACATTTTGATAAGTTGTTTCTTTCATTTTTATTTAGTTCCAAAATTTTTTTAAAATTTCTCGAGATTTATTTTGGAGCCATATTATTTAAAAAATGTGTTGTTCAATATCCACCTATTTTGGAATTCTCCAGTTATTTTTCGTTATTGATTTCTAGTTTAATCTCATTGTGGTCCGACAGCTGACATTTTATGATTTCCATTTCTTTAAATTTGTTAAGGTGTATTTATGGCTCACGATGTCATCTATTTTGGTGAATTTTAATGTGAGCTTGAGAAAAACGTGTATTCTTCTGTTGTTAGATGATGTAGTCCATAGATGTCATTTACATCCAGTTGATGGATGGTGTTGTTAAGTTCAACTATGTTCTTACTGATTTTCTGTCTGCTGTGTCTATCCATTTCTGATAAAGAGATGAAGTCTGCTACTATAATAGTGGACTCATTTCCTTCTCTTTGGAAGTTCAATCAGCTTTTGCCTCACATAGTTGACTCTCTGTTATCAAGTGTATACATGCTAAGAATTGTATGTCTCTTGGAGAACTGACCCCTTTATCTCTCATAACTTTCTTTACTTTGAATTTTGCTCTGTCTAAAATGAACATAGCTACTGTGCTTTCTTTTAATTACTGTCAGCATAATACATTTTCTCTATCCATTTACTTTTAATCTATGTGTGTCTTTATATTTAGAGTGGGTTTCTCATAGACAACATATAATTAAATTGTATCTTTTGATCCACTCTGACAGTGTTTTTTGATTGATGCATTCCAACCATTGACATTCAAAGTGATCATTGACATAGTTAGATTAAATCTACCATATTTGTCAGTATTTTCAATATGTTGCCCTTGTTCTTTATTCCTAATTTTGACTTCCACTCTTTCTGCCTTTTGTGGTTTTAATCAAGCATTTGATATTATTCCATTTTCTCTCCTTGGAGAATATCAGCTATACTTTAAAAAAATTTTTTTTCAGTGGTTGCTCTAGAGTTTGTAACATACATTTACGACTAATTCAAGTCCACTTTCCAATAACACTATTCCACTTCACAGTTAGTGTGGTATCTTATAATAACAAAATAATTCTAAGTCCTTCCTTCTGTCCCTTGTACATTGCTATCATTCATTTCACTTATATATATCAGCGTACTTAAGCATATATAACTAAACATAAGATATAAACACATGTAATCAGTGTTACTTTTTTATTATTTTGAACAAAGCGTTATATCAATTAAGAATAAAAAAAATCAAAGTTCTTATTTGACCTTCACTTATTCCTTCCTCTATGCATAGACCCAAGTTTCTGATCTATATTATTTTCCTTCTCTCTAAAGAATTTCTTTTAATATTTCTCACAAGGCATGTCTATTGGCAACAAATTCTCTCGATTTGTCTGAGAAAAATCTTTATTTCTGCTTTGCTTTTGAGGGATAATTTCATAAGGGACAGAGTTCTAGGCTGGTAAATTTTTTCTCTCAACGCTTTAAATATTTCACTCCACTCTCTTCTTGCTTGCATGATTTCTGAGGAGAATTCTATGTAATTCTTATCTGGAGGTAAATCTCATGATATTATTTTAACTCTGAGTTGTCCACGCTGCCCCTCCAGAAATTCATCAATTACAGCTCAGGTTTTCCTGTCCTGGCACTGCTATCTTCACCTGTCTCTCTAATCTTGGGGGTATAAGTTTGTCCTGTATCTTCACTTCTCTTAGGAATCCAAGAATTGCTGATTTTCAACCTGTTCAGCTTTTTACTTATTGTTAGGACTTGCAAGCTCCTAATATGTGAAACCACACTTCGTTTTGTTTTTAACCATAAAATTTCCCATTTTGGTTAAATTCATTCTATGCCTTGCAATCTATGAAAAGAATTGATTGAATATAGAAATAAATCTTTATAGTATATTCGAGGCTTACCCTCGACAGTCTCATGTAAGTAAAGAAACAGAGTTTTAGGTTTCTATTCTGTTCCTAATGAGCTTTGTGATGAGATCTTAGGCAAGTTACTTCACCCGTCGAAGCCTTAGTTCTAGATCTGTAAATTAGGTATAATAATATATACCTTAAACCATTATTCGGACATTTAAATGAGTAATATATACATATTGCCAAAGAGTATAATATATACAGACTGCACAGCATAGTTGCTCAGTATATTATTAGAATTATTTCATATCTATAGTGTTTTTTAAAATAGCATGATTGATCAATTGATTGGAAGAACATGGCCTAACAGATAAAATATAGTCCATTTATATTGGCTATGTCCATGGTGGCTGATTTAACTGGTTTTAATGTATACTACCTTGTGTTTTACATGGTTAAGATATGTATCGATTTCTTTGCATTGGTCAACTATAATTTGCCCATGGATTACACATACACTAAGTAATGTTCTGACATATTAATTGTGGAATTTTTCCTTCCTCTGCTTCCTCGCACTAGTTACCTTTTCCTGATCACGTAGGCAATAGAACCTAGCAGGTTAGGGTCAGGACAGATAATGCTGAGATGTAAGAAGTCATTCATCAGCTCTGGGTTTCATATTAGGCTTTTAAAAACACTCCACAATAGAAACAATATTTTTGAAATGATAGCTTTTCTTTACAGAAGACTGATATTTTAAGAGAGAAAAATATATGCTTAGCCCCAAAGCACTAAGAGCCTTGAAAGAGCCTTGAAATCAAAAAGTGAGGAAGAATGCATGAATAGAATAACAGGCCCCCAAGAGGGCAAATTTGGCCAGCATGCAGAAAGAGAGAACTAAACAGAACCAGAAAGGCCTTGCGACTGGATGTGGAAGCTGAATGCACTGATAGGAGAAAACAATGGCAGATACGGCACGGACAAAAGCTGATGCTCAAGACAAAGAGGAACAGATTACACCTCTGCAGAGGCCATTGAGGTCAGAGAACTTGGACCAGGACTCCTCCCCTGACGACGAAACAATATAAGTCCCCTAAGAGCTCAGACCACTTCCAAGAAGGAAATGAGAAGGAGAAGGAGGGAAATTTTGAACTGTATGTTTACCCAAAAGAGACTGAATTTTAAACCAAAAGCATATGTGAGAAAGGCCATTAAACAGAACAGCTCATATTCTAAGCTAGATTCAGTTATGTAGAAATTTTAAAAATTAATTTTCTAACTTTAGAGTTTGTGTACATGTTGAAATATTATCTACTAACTACTTATCAGGCTTGAGGATACCCTGAGTTTTAGTTCTTCTTGGTTCATCTGAAAGCCTCCATCATCTGAAATGGTTTTCAAGAGCAAGGAAGGAAAAAAGTTTTCTCTTTCAAATAATTATTTTAACTGTCACAAAATTAAAATAGGTACATGTATTATTATCATGGTTATTTTAGAAACCTAGACTGAAAATTACTTTCTCAAATAGGTAACATTTTCTTAAGCAGATTAAACCTATTTTCTTCATATTTATTTTAAAAGTAAACTTTTGAAAATATAACTCAAGGTATTAACATCACGTACAAATAATTTGAAACCTATTGTGAACTTCAAAAGGATTTAAAAACTAGAATTTTCCTTTTATAAACTATAAATAAAATTGTGAAGTATAACTATAAGAACCTTTTAAATGTGCAAACTACATTTAAATATTTTTATATAATATGCATTTGGTTCAGCTTTGTCGTCAGCTAAGCATAGTGGGTTCACTCCACAACCTACAGGTTTACTGTTTTTATTCAACTCTGTGTTTCAGAGTCATGGACCAAAGCTGTTTCTGTCATATCATAAGCCATTTAAAGTGTTAGCCATCATAAGCCATGTTAATTCATAATAAGACTATTAATGTTAGACATGACAAGATTATTAATATCAGGTTTTTATATTGGCTATAATCTTACTGAATCTTAGGCTCATAGAAAGATGAGGAGAAAACAAACTTGAGCTATCATTCTGATGTCGTGATCTGAAATCATTAAACCCTAAAGCAAATACTTAAAACTATGTGTTCCTACTCGACCATAAAAAAGAATGAAATCTTACCATTTGTGATGACATGGATGGACCTGGAAGGTATTATGCTAAGTGAAATAAGTCAGAAAGAGAAAAACAAATACCATATGATCTCACTTACATGTGGACTCTGAAAAACAAAACAAACAAAACAAATAGACTCATAGATACAGAGAACAAACTACTGGTTGCCTGATGGGAGGTGGCTTGGTGGTTGGGTGGGAAAGGTAAAAGGATTAAGAAGTCCAGAATGGCAGTTATAAAACAGTCACAGGATGTAAAGTACAACATAGGGAACAGAGTCAATAACATTGTAATAACTGTGTATGGTGCCAGATGGGTACTACTAGATTTATCAGGGGGATCACTTTGTACTAAGTTACATAAATGTCTAACCACTATGTTGTACACCTGAAAGTAAATAATATTGCATTTCAACTGTAATTAAAAAATAAAAATTAAAAAGACATGTATTCAATAATTAGTATTTTGTTTCTGCTCCTAAAAAATTGACTCAATGGAGCCATGAGAAGAAGCACTTTTATCTTAAAACAGACAAGTTAAATTTTGATTTATTGCCATGCTCAAAGCATTTGCCTTCCAGTGGAACAACAAATACATGTTAGTCTATACTGAATAACACTTCATTTAAGAGCTTTTATGTTTGCCTTACAGAGCTTGTATATTTAGTCAGAATAATAATAAAAAATTTACAGACAGAAACATGAACAAAAAAATTTATACTTTGCAACACTCTAAAAATACATTATCTAATAACAAAGAAAAATGATTACTACCTTCTGGATGAAACAGAAAACTAAGAAAAATATCTGAGACATTGAACATATAACAATATTATTGTAAATATTAATATTTATGGACTACTGTGAAGGCAGTAGTAAAAAAAACACAAGTTCTAATAAAAAGTTAGAGACAGACAACCCTTTAAATATCTTAACAATTTAAATCATTGTAAATTCAAGTGTTTCTTTTCTTCTAAATTTTTACTTCATGCAATAGTGAAGGCAACATGTTTATAAACAGGTGTTCATGAGTATAACACATATTATACATGAATGATATTCACAGTCATCCACGATACTTCTGTAAGCATTCCTATTGACTATCCACCACTATCAGTTGTAGGGTTGGAAGGCACTTTAACAATGACTGACTCTAAAAAGGAAATGTATCTGTCATTAAGACATTAAGACCTCTGATAGTGAATGCTCATCATAAGGTATATAAATGCAGAATCACTATGTTGTACACTTGAAATGAATATAATATTGTATGTCAACTATACTTTAATAAAAATAAATAAAAATTTAAAAACAGATTTCTCAACATTCTGTCCCAATTTTTGTTGGCATACTCTGTGCTCTACATTATCCTATGGCCACGTTACTCTTTCATCGCAATGCACCTTCTTAGTTCAGCTGCAGTTTTTTCTAGCTGTTGAATGTTCCACTGCCATTGTCTTCTATGGGATTGAAGCTTGTTCACCTGACAATGCAAACGCTTAAGAATCGCACCATATCTCTTATGTTGTACCTATTAAAGAAGAATACACGTGAACAGGGCTTGAGAAGGATAAATGGAACACAGCCATAAAGGATATTTTGACTACTCTAAAAAGGAAAACACTTGCTTAGAAATTATTCGCTGTAAATAATGACAATAAACAGTAATTATAACTATTTGACACTTATTACATGTTAGTTACTGTGCTGAGAGCTGTTTACATATAATTAAATTCTCATAACACTTTATGACGTGGATATCATTAACTCCATTTTTGTATAAAGAAACCAAAGATCAAGGAGTTTCAGTATTTGACCTAGTTTTAACAGCCAGCAACCAACGGTGTGTGGAGTTCGAACCCAGGGGAAACACCCACGAAGATGCGCCTTTGGCTTATCGAGCAGGTACTAGTTAAGAGCGATGGTTTCATCTCCTGTACCAGTGGTTCACTGGAACACAGACGCATTGACCTAAAAGATCCAGAGCACATCATCCACTTCCCGGCCCTTAAGCAGATCGGTATTTACGCTGAGCCAGACAAATGTGACCCTGGAAGTCAATGAAGCGCAGTGTAAAGTGCAAGTGTTTTGGTGTCAGGCCATAAGAAAGTAAAAAAGTCAAAATTCAGGATATCAGTATAGCTATACAAAGAGCGCCCAATTTTTTCTAACAGCTTTACTGAGATATAATTTATGTACCATATAATTCATCCTTTAACGTGCATGATTTAATGGTTTTTAGTATATTCACAGGGTTGTGCATCACCACAATCAGTTTTACATTATCATTAGCCCCAAAAGAGGCCCAGTACCCATAAGCAGTGACTCTCCATTCCCCTACCCCCACCCTGAGCACCAGGCAACCGCTAAACTACTTTCTCTTTTATAGATTTGCCTATTTTGGATATTTTATAAAATGAAATCATGTAATATGCGGTTTTTTATGACTGGTAACTGGCTTCTTTCGCTCAGCATGTTTTTAAGGGCCATCCATGCTTTAGCATGTATCAATACCCCATTCCCTTTTATTGGCTAATAATATTCCATTGTATGATATACTACATGTTATCTATTTTATCAGTTGATAAATATTTGAGTTGTTTCTACTTTCTGGTTATGATGAAGAATGCTGCTGTGAATATTCCTGTGCAAGTTTTTGTGTGGACATGTTTTCACTTCTCTTGGGTATATATCTAGGAGTGGAATTACTGGATCACATGGGAACTCTATGTTTAACCATTTGGGAAACTACTAGACTATTTTCTGATTTTACATTCCCATGATCAATGTGTGAGGGTTCCAATTTCTTCGAATCCTTGAAAATACTTGTTCTTATCTCTTTTTTTATCATAGCCATCTTATTGGGTATGAAGTGGTATTTCATTGTAGTAAAAATCTACTTTTTAAAATTTTATTTTTTATTTTTTAAGTGAGGCAACCCTTGGTGACCTCACAGACTGCAAGGACCTTGTCAGCTTACAATCCTTTCTCTTTTTATTTTTACGCCTATAGCACCTGGTCTTCCTAGGTGGTCTCCCATCCAAGTACTAAC